ATTCTCGATTGGGCCCACTGACGCCCGTTGTACCTGGAAATTGGGTGTGCATGGAAGAGAGAATTCCCCCAAACGTGTACATCTTACAAATTCATATGTAACTCTGCCTTAGGATGCACGAATTCAAGCGTTCAACCTCCTACTAGCAGTGGACTATGCGTAGCTGCTTCTCGACAATCGTGCGTGGAAGACCACCAGAGGCACTTCTTTCTCAACCAAATGTTCCTCAACTCAATATTGGTACATAAAGCGTCAGGAAGAATCACGTTTCACATTCTTACCGATCAACGCACTGGTGTGCACTAAACACACTTCAGTGAGAGTCCGGTGTAGAATGCTGTCCTTGGGGCACTGTGCAACGCGCACGCAAACAAGACAAAATGTGCGACCCCGCAAGGATGCATGAAGAAATCCAAAAAACAGGGAAATGCATTGGAAGGTTTGTCGAACAGTTAAGGTTGCTATATATAGGTGCTTGTCGTGAATACATCAGAGTATGTTGCATCTGCTCGCTGAGGCGTCAACGAGTCGGAGCAGATATCGGTGCAGGGGAATTCCCAGGAACTGCCTCAAAGGACACGCCTATTTACATTCATATACAAACTAAAACTCATGCGAAGAGGATTTCATTTGCAGAAGCCGGCTGAAGCGGCGATTTTTATTGCGGTCAGATAAGAAGAACAAGTGGAGACACAGTTGTGGGCCCACAACGCTTCAGCAATGTGCCCGAAAGCGACTCCCTCAAACATGCCCGTCATTTTCTGATATAATTGCTTCACAAAATCTATCCGCGCCTACTTGAATTTGCCGGTTGTGTTTTGGGTCCAAATATAATAGCTTCATCCTTTACTGATTCTCTCTCCAGGGATCCTGCACACAAATTCGAGACCACACAGAATCATGGAAACGATAGAGTGAAGCGTGGCAGCAAAATGAAGACAGTTTAGACAGAAGATAAGCTTGTCTAACTTGCTTTCCAAACAGCGAACCTGGGGCGATACATATCGACTTTTCTTGCTTCGGAATGCCAGATCGCTCCCGTCCACAATGACAAATATATCCCAGCCAGCAGTTGTCGGTCTGCAACACTCTCCGGCAGTTTTAGGATCGCACAACCCAAAAGCTGCCTTTCAAAGCGCTGTCTCTACTTCGCCACCCTATTCACGCCAGCCCACAACTGGGCCGGATACCAAGCTGCTGCAACGCAGGGCTCATGACCGCCACGTTTTCGCTGCTGCGGTGACATCCATAGTTTCCCTCGTGACGATTTTGGCTATATTGGCTGTGTGTCGGACGGCTCAAAGGAAATTAGATTCCGGAGCAGCAGTACGGCGCAGTCTGTCTAGTTCGGATGATGATCAGCAGCAGTCCCAGATTTCGCAGCAATGTCTGGATTTGTTGGAGGATCATACCCTTGGGCAACCTGTTTCGGCGTATCGTGAGGAGGCGAACGAAGCAAAGGCCAGACTGGTCGCCATGATGTATGAGTCTGCAGCTTCTTTTGAACGGAAGCGCAGTAATAATTCACAGGGCTTGAAAGATGAACATCAACAGCCCCCAGCTAAGGTTCCTCGGTTTGATGAGAGACTGGACTCCTCCACCTCCCACCTACAGCCGTTGCAGTCCTTGGCATTTTGGCCAGAAGTTGGTGGAACAGCAGTGGACAGTGTGCACAACGCTTTGGATGCAGATGCCTGGGTGAAAACAGAGCCTGAGTTAGCTTTTGGCGAAGACAAGCAGCAACTGCTCCTTTCGACGCTGAACAAGGTGTCCTCCTATCAACAGGATGCATCAGAATCTCAAGCCCCTTCGTCGACATCTGATGCAAAGCCAGCTACTGGTCAGCTGGCCTCAGTGTCTTTTGGCAGTGCATTCAGCGGTGAACCTATACCTCGTGAAGCGTGGCTCTACGAGCCAGGAGTGAGCGCGTATCCAACGGTTTTTCAGCAGAGTGCACAGAGAACTGTGTGGCAGAGCGCAAAGGCTGAGGCAGCGTCAGCAGCTCCCATCAGTGCGGGTGCTGTGGCTGTTAGCACCACAACAGAGGTTGGAGGTATAGGGGGCCGAGGGATTGCTTCTGCAGACGTTGGTTGGAAGGGAGGACTGCCGCAACAGGGAGTGCAGAATCTTGAAAACGATGGACAGGCCTCTGATATTCCTTTGATTGGTTTGCAGCAGTCAGCAGCTGCCAATATGTGGGAAGCCAGTAGTCGAGAAGAGATATTCTGTGAGCCGGGAGATATTCGTATGCATCCTTTTGTACGGCTTCCAGTGGCAAAGGGATTGCCCCCTAACAGAAGATTCCGTGCGCAATTTGCACTTTCGTTCAGTTTAAGCATTCGTAGTCCGATGGAATCATTCAAGAAAATGCGCAGCTTATTTTTAAAGCCTTCGCTGACGGTTGACGACGTAGAGGCACTCGTGGGGGAAGCCGAAATGTTGGCAAACTATGCAAAATGCAGACTATCAGGGTCTTATGAGAACTGTACTGCTAGCTACATTGTCATGAGACTGTCATCGTTGTTGATGGTATTTGACTTTCTGGTAGGTACAATTGAGATCGTAGGGGAAGTGATGAACACCGGCAGCTGGTGGGCTGAGTTTGCGCAGAAGTTCCGCTCGGATTATTCCTTTCCTACGAAGGGAAGGACGAGCAGAAGCAGGATGCTGAACATGCTGGTTAATCGGATGTCTTCTGCTATTTCGATATATAAGACCGGAAAACGCCCACCACCTGAAGAAGTAGTTGAACTAAAGAGGATCATAATCACCCATGCTTACAAAAACACGCAGATGTCACACCCGTTCTGGCAGCTATGGATACAGGATGATGAAGAATTCTGTTGTTCTACTACTGCTAGCCCAAATCCGTGAAGCACAAGCGAGGTTAACGAGAAGAAAGGCCACCTTGGCTTGTATGCCTGGGTAGTCGCCTGTTTTATTACGGAATCACCTGTTTTGTAAGCAACAGGCAAGAGCTTGTCTTAATGCCGAGAGTCGTCTCAGTGCCGAATCTAGCAAAAATAGTCACCGGTGTGCGTGTCTGCCTTTCGGTTTGTTGTCTGACTTCTCTGCAAATATACGTTTTGCTCATATCGCCAGGTGCTATCTGGCAATGAGGGATCTACCCCCAGGCTTTCTGCTGCATGAAGTTTTACGCACAATTCAACTACTATTGCGAGTCCCATGAGCCTCCACTTAGTATAAGGCGGCAGCTGTCCCACGTTTTGTCGTTGGCAAATGACGCTACACTCAGACTGGCACTGCCGTGTTAATGAGCGCTGGCGGGAAGCTCCAATCGCTTTCCACGATAAAATAGCAACGACCACAGATATACTGAACTGACTGTGCAAGCTCCAGGTGCTTTGCACGAGAGAAGAGCCACAACAGAGCTACTCAACTGATTGTGGAACTGGTACAGAGCCTTCTTATTAACGCCGGTGCAGTAGTTGAGGCGCATTCCCAGCTACAACGGCAAATGATAGTGGTGCTTACTGTCTTCGCGTTGCGCTTGTCTAAGAATCACTAGCAGGGGCCTGTAATGACGCAAAACCTTCATTCTTGATGCAGGTTGTGCGGCGTATCCAGATTAATCCTAAGCCAAACATTTTTCTGTGCGATGTCCCTGGCTCTGGATGCTTTCACCAGTTCCAATTAGAGGAAATGAGATGCTGGCTCTACGCCGCCTGCCCCACAGAGACGTTTGCCAACACGAGAATAAGCTATATGAACACTGTACCCGGATACCCACAACACTGGTAGCTGAATTCATCCTTGCAAGCAGCCTGCTTAGCACAGCCCATGACATGTGTCTAGGAGTTGCCTTCGGTTTATCGCGTATATTTAACCCCTGCCCGACTATGTTTGCACTTCGAATTGCCCTATAGCAGGGGCTGCAGGAAGGTGTGCTCCAGCAGGAGGCATGCCACCCGTCCAGCCGAAGCCCAAAGCCTTTGCGCTGTAACACAGAGGATTCCTGCAAATTAAATGAGAGTAAAACTTCTTCGAACAACGCTGACTTCCTACTACCTCGACTCCATTGCAACTCTCCACTATTCTCGATTGGGCCCACTGACGCCCGTTGTACCTGGAAATTGGGTGTGCATGGAAGAGAGAATTCCCCCAAACGTGTACATCTTACAAATTCATATGTAACTCTGCCTTAGGATGCACGAATTCAAGCGTTCAACCTCCTACTAGCAGTGGACTATGCGTAGCTGCTTCTCGACAATCGTGCGTGGAAGACCACCAGAGGCACTTCTTTCTCAACCAAATATTCCCCAACTCAATATTGGTACATAAAGCGTCAGGAAGAATCACGTTTCACATTCTTACCGATCAACGCACTGGTGTGCACTAAACACACTTCAGTGAGAGTCCGGTGTAGAATGCTGTCCTTGGGGCACTGTGCAACGCGCACGCAAACAAGACAAAATGTGCGACCCCGCAAGGATGCATGAAGAAATCCAAAAAACAGGGAAATGCATTGGAAGGTTTGTCGAACAGTTAAGGTTGCTATATATAGGTGCTTGTCGTGAATACATCAGAGTCATACACCACATCAGAGTGGTTGCATCTGCTCCCTAAGGCGTCAACGAGTCGGAGCAGAGACCTGCGCGAGGGAACATTCAAGGAACTGCTGCAAATCACACTTCTTGTTCCAAGAATCCCCTAAATAGATGTGAGTGGAGGATGCTTTGACTTGCAGATGCTAGCTGAAGTGGTGATTTCTAGTGCAGTCAGATAAGACGAACAAGTGGAGACACCCTGGGGGGCCCACAAAAAGTTTCGGGAGAGTTTCCCGACAGTGACTTCCTCAAACACTCCCGTCATTTTCTGATATAATTGTTTCACAAAATATATCCGCGCCTACTAGAATTTGCAGGTGTTGCTTTGGGCCCAAATATAACCGCTTCATCCTTTACCGATTCTCGGATCATGCATACCGATTACAGATCACACAGCATCATGGGAACGATAGAGTGAAGCGTGGCAGCAAAATGAAGACAGTTTAGGCAGAAGATAAGCTTGTCTACCTTACTTTCCAAACAGCGAACCTGGGGCGATACATACCGACTTTTCTTGCTTCGGAATGCCAGATCGCTCCCGTCCACAATGACAAATAGATCCCAGCCAGCAGATGTGGGTCTGCAACACTCTCCGGCAGTTTTAGGAAGCGTGTTGGGTTTTCGACGGAAAGTTTCG